CCAGTCGCTCCGAGGCACTACATCCACAGTTGACCTAGGATACGAAGTATGTACATGTCATCAGAGACGAGACCGCAAGGGCAGGGTGCCAGCTACGGATATTCCACCCGATGACTCTGGAGTACGGATACATTCACAGTGGGCGCTGTCAATTTGGAAACAGAGAACACATGACATTACGCAAGATTCTGGCCAAGTCAAGTCGAGACGAGGCGCGGCCCTCGGGACATGCAGGGCAGGACATGACTATGCGATTGCAGGGTGCATGTTGACAGGCAAACAGGGGTAACATCGGCAAGGGAGTTGGACTTCCATCTGGTACGCGGCATTCGTACGGCAGTTGAAAGGGGAGGAGAAAGTGTATGTGTGTGTGTGTGGGTGTGTGGGTGTGCGCGCGCGCTTGGGAGTGCGTGGTGTGTGTGCGTGTGTGTGACCAGAGCAGCTGAGAGATCGGATTCCTTAGTAATAAGGAGAAGGGCCACAGGAGAGGCAGAGAACCTAACAGAGCAACAAGGGCCGCTGACAGGCACGGGATGACATTGAGGTGAGAAAGAGAGGACGACAGGCGGTAGGGATAGACGAGGTGCTACCTTACCATGATCAAAGGTACGTACTGAAAGGACGCACCGCAGCAGGTCAGGGAGCCACGATGCAGGGGCTTGCATGCGCAAGAGGTGGGGTTCCAGGTTCCAGGTTGCCCGAAAGGCACATACTAGGAAATACGTACTGTTTTCCAAGTCTCCCCTCACTTTCCAACTTCACGTTTCCATTTCCATTTTCGAAGGATGGGAGACGACGATAACTTGATAAGATATGCTGACGCAAGGCAAGGACCCGACCTATTACCCCTTCAGGCCTCTACGATGCCGTGGCCGCGGGTGTCTGTCTGGCCCTTATCTGTCTCTAACACACAACTCTGTCGGTCTGTCGGTCTCTGCCATGCCCTCCCTGCCTTATGATGAGTGTCTTTCCTGGCTCCAATGGCACCTGATCCTGGCTGAGCCTGGCGGTTGTGAAGCTGATTGGCTGAAAGATTTATTCGTACCTTGCAGATGGTGAGCTGGTGTCGTGGAAGGGCCAATGCTAGGCGGATAGTCAGGGGCTAGCACTTTACACTTCACACAACCTAACTCAACGCCATCGACCATAGCCAGTTACAACTTACCACACCGCACGCACACCGGGCCAAGGCCCATTTAACAATGGTGTCGCCGACTCGCCGTTATTCATAGCATGCCAGTAGCCATGCAACGGAACACATGGCTAAAGTTGTGTGCCAAGTCACGAACAAGCACTTCTGCTGTACAGAGTGCTCCGTACACTGTAAGACACGGCACACAAAAGGAAGGGTATCCGAAGAAGGGAAACTTTATGGCGCACCCATCCAGGGGACAATTTCAGGACTGCCTCTCTTATACGATGTAGCCGTAGCCGGTGTGTCTTTTCTTAAACCTTGACTCTCTACACGACGCAGAAGCACGGGCAAAGATGGTGGTCTTGTGATTCTTGCCTGTTCTTGTCATTTCCATCCATCTAGATATCGATGGCCTTTGCGAGCGTCCTTAGACCCAGTCCGACTGTGTCTGTACGAAGATGTTAGAGCCAACACCCACCCAGGCTTTGATTGGCGTGGCTAACTATCTTACACCGACAGGATGTTCCCGTCAAGTCTGTTCAGTGGCATACACGCAGGCTGGCAGCAAGAGAAGGGACTTATCCTACCTAACTCCGTACCTTACAGATCAGGTACACTATGTACAGTATGTTGGAAGACGAAGATAAAAAACGATCTGAGAATCCACTTTTCCAGAAAGCCTCTGAAACAAGCCGCTCCCAAGACCAAGGCTGCACTAAGCCAATCAAGGCACAGCCCCGGTGGAGTTGGCCACGAGTAACGGGGCTGCTCAGCCGTGCTAGACTACTACCTTAGTGTACGTATCTACCCTACGGAGTACACTGTAACTCAACCGGCCGGCTGCGACTACCCTACTGCGTAAACAACCGATACCCTACCCTTTTTTTCCCCATCATCCCACCAACACTGCAAACTTCTGACTTGGCACTACCAGCCTTGGTCTCCGAACGGCCAATTTGTTATTACGACATGCGTCCAATTGCGCAAGTCGGAATGGGAAGATGCAGGAGCTGGTTACTGTGCGTCTCGGTCCTGTCACACCAAGGAAGCACCGGTGGAGGCCCGCAACCACCACCTATGCAGTCGAATAACTCCATGGCTCCGAAACTGAGGGCTTAAACCAATCTTACAGAGCGCATCCAGGACACATCCAGGAAACACTCCCACACCACTACACCAGGAGTCACCGAATGCCCCGTCGATCGGGTCCGCGTCTCATCCGCATCTTTATTGCCCACTGTCTTTGCGCTCTTCGTCCGGTCTTCTGACACCGACCCAGGCGCCAGATCACTGCACAACATCGTCACATTCGACTAAAACAGCCAGGACGAGCGACTCGCCGCCCACTTTACACCTGTCTGAAGCAACCTGACCCGATCCCTTCGGCTATACTTGTCCGTCTGCAACGTGCCGTGTCTGGGATGTGGTCGGCCACACGGCGGGAGAGTGGGGGTTGATGCACGGCGGAAGCCAACGAGAACCAACGAGAACCAGGCCATTGCACGACGCAGCATTCTCCCGAAGGAGCGGCGTGGCGGCGTAGCCCTGGGGCTGATGCGAGATGCGAGCAAACGATGAAAACAGACTGCGATCGACCTCAGTCACTGCCTGAACCACTGCATGGTATCGTCATCTGGAGTTACACAGATCCCCCGGCCCGCCATGCCTTTGCCAGCTCAACTCGCCCGTATCCCGCTAAAGAAGTTTTCGTTTGCCAAGAGAGTCAATGCTAGATGTTGTTCTATGCATTCCGCATCAGCATTACTACGGTGGCCCTTTTCGTGTTTGCTTTCCATGTAAGTGAGCGGACTTTGGACCATCACCACCTATGTTACTGGCCGTAGGGGGCTATGTAATCCACGCGAAGCTTCAATCGTGGCAGGAAATACGTCTTGTGCCTTACTGGTCTCCAACGTGTTTCTTTTCATCTTTTGCTTCTTTGAGTGTTCTTTTTGTTCTTTCCTTATTTTACCTTTCCCGCCTGACTATCGCCAGACTCAGCTCCGAGGTTTCCAACGCCCACCAATCCCGGGGAAATCAAAGGGGTACCTGGGTTGGTCAAACATGCAGCCGCCGATGGTTCTGTGTACGTCAAATGCGCTGCCGCGCTTCCAAAATATAATCTTCGAGCCGCAGAAAACGAAAATGTCTCGTTGCTAAATTGCAAGTCGGTTTCTAGTGTGACTATCCTCGGAATCTGACCGCGACAGCAAGTGTTTGCCATTTGCCATCGATGCTGTCTGCTGGCGTGCCTACCTATACCTGGCAATGCGCGTGTACACGACACACCAGAGTTCTCTCGCCCTAGGCTCTCGGGATGACGTTTCAGTCGGGTACAGTTTCTGAATTTTGCATGATCGATGGACATGGGATAAGTCATCTCCTCGGTCCTAGCCCGCGCGGGCCTTGACTCAGACGACACAGCGGAAGAAGAAACGCCCCAGCCTCAGCGCGAAATTGATTTGCAGATGGCTTGATTCGCTAGCTAGCCAACTTCTAGTCGGGGCTGTCTGCGAGTACATGTTGACCGTTTGTCACGACCATGCCGCCGCAGTCATTGGATCGCATTCTGAGACGAGTGAGGTGCTAGACTCTGGAGATCTCAATGGGTCTATTCTATCAACGCAACACTGGCGAACAGGCTGTCTGTCCACACATCCTTCTCGATGCCTTATCACGTCGATCTCCACCCTAGAGCACTGGTTCCAAACGTGCTCACCATCAAGAGAATCTAAAAGTTTCATGCCATTGCCACAGCGAAGCATGCAACTTGTGGTGTGCGTAATATATTGCGAATCATCAAGTGCAGTGTCGTAGTCCTGTCTCGAATCATGGCTTACATAGCCAATCGCTACCTCCCTGTACTGGCTCAGGCTTTGAATCCCTGAGAGCGAGGCACATCAGCTTACCATGCCTCAGCTCTTGAGTCTATTATCTCTGGGTCGCTGCCCACCACCTACATCCCAATGACAGAACAGAGCTTTTTTGGGCCCTCGTTGCAATATTCCGAGCAAAACACTAAAGGGAGGCCAAGAAGGCCCCTGTGTCCCTGCCATCGTTGTTCAAGCGCACGGCATAATGCTCAGATACTGACAGCCTGGTTTGTATGGACATCTCGAACATCTTATCGCAGGAATCGACACGGTACTGCCCTCTTCAGAGTTCAAGGCCCTCATCAAGGTTATTATGATCCACTGAATGGGCCTGCCCGCCATTAGCCTCAGTGATCTGCAACCGTTTCCTGGTGTTTCTACACTAATTGTCATCAATTACTTGAACGGCCCGTTTATCCCCCGTGATGTTGCGGCCAGTTGACCCAGCGCATAACCAAAACATACCGCCCTGACAGGAAACGCATCACGTCTGCTACGGGAACTTTGTCTGAAGTTCTGGACAACTCAAACCGTCCGATTGCGACAAACTTTCTTGATCTCCCGTCAGTCGCAATTGGGCATCCCCTTCGGATCTTCCTGTCACTGCAGTCGTACTACCTGCCAGCTCATGTGTCAGAAGTCCTCCATCTCGAAGGGGCCATACGCATGCGCCGCCGGCCAATCACTCTGAAATGTCAAGATATCTTGCTCGCGCCGCCACGGGCGTGCCGCACCATTACGAGAACGTCGGATAAGCAACTCAAGTGAATATTGATTGGAGGTGAAGGCTACAGAAGAAAAAGAGAGGCGAGGTCCACATCGGCGACAACCCTATGCCATGTCCCTAGTCGTACCTCCACACATTGGCAAGGATCTGAAACGCAGCTGATGGCTATTTTGCATCCTGTTGACTCGCACAAAAGTTACTGACATATCCATGCCCAATGGGCTGGACTGTCATGGCCAATCCAATCTACTTGTTGCAGTTGTCATTAAATTCCCAGCTCATCCTCGTCGTTGAGACCGCAGTCAATGAGGATGGCCTGCTCGCCCAAGTCTGCCAAAACCTTGCGGGACCACGTCTCGCTGCTCCGGATAACCCGCCGGCACCCGTCCCGTCTCCTGGCTCCTGCAACATGGCTTCCCAATCGGGACTTGCCCAGAACTCGTGGCCAGTTCTCTAGACCCATGCCAAGCTCATCAACCCCGTCAACTCCGTCCATTCCAGCGATTCCAGCGCCCGAGTTTCTCTTGCGGCTGCCATGATCCTCGTTTTGTGTATCCGGACTCTTCCTCTTCCCCGCCAGTCGTCGGCCCACTTGGTCACCAATGGACTGACCCGTCAGTCCAGGGCTTGCGGTAACCAAAGGCCCGGTTTTGTCGGCTCCTTCCGTGGTTGGATCCGGCTCCGATCGATCCGCCAGCACCCGGACGTCGTCTTTGCCACTGTTGTGTCTTCCGCTTCGGCGCCGAGGTAGGGTTTCTCGGCTGAAGTCTCCTTGCCTTCTTGCCAACGGGCTTACTGCAATCCATTCGCTGATGCCTTCTTCCCACCGAAACCCCGTAAAGTTGCCCTTGGCTACGACCATGCCGTCTCTCTCGGCCAGGTCTTTCTTCAACGTCTCTGCAAACACGAGATCGCGTAGATCGTCCGTCTTTTGGGCCAAAACAAAGGCACCATTGCCTCTCAATCTTGCGAACCTTGGCGTCTGAATGGTATCGATGAGTTCGCAGACTTTGGCAAAGTACGAGTTGGATGGCTGGCCAGTGGCTCTCCCACAACAGTGAGCAATTGAGCAGGTGATGTCGACAGTGGTGTCGAGAAGCTGACTGCCATCGTTGCCCGTAGTTGGGGCTTTTCCCAGGCCCTGACCATGTCCGAAGCCGTCTATCGCCGCCTTCAATCGGAGCCGAGTGGCTTCGTGCGCCGCTCTGGGGGACAGAGACAGAAACAATGCCAGTAAAAGGGGATACGCGGCTTCCTTGCTACCGACACGACTTCTCACCAGTCTCAGTGCTTGGTGAAGGATATGAATTACCACTCTCTGGGTCCGACTTCTCTGACTTACACTGGCACCGGATGCAGTATTTCCGAAATCCTGCGAAATCATAGCCATGGCTGACAATGCACCAAGTACACTCATTAAAGTGAGCATGGCGGATTTTGATTCCGTTGTGAGCGCCGAGGAACGCCTGTGACGTCTGGGGTAGGCATTCACACACAGAAATGCAAGTCCGGTTGATGCGAACTCAGTTGCAGAAGGGCGTGCTGTTTTCTCGAGTACAGCGGAAGCCGCTATACTCCACAAGCCCCCAAAATCTCTTCCTGCGACCATGCCGACGGGGAGTCGTCTATGAACCAACAGTGATGAGAACGTTTCGAGAAAATGAGATTCCACAATTGGGTCCTCCGCAAGGCCTAGCAAATAGGCTGGTAGCTGGCCTTCCCTGCTGGTTTGAGGCGCATCTCTTGATTCTAGGGGCTCGGAGTAAAGGAAGCAAACCAGAGCTTCCGTGAGACCTGCTGTTTCGTGGAGAAACTGCATGGCCTTGCAATGATCGATCAAGATGCGGATAAAGGAGACATCGAGCAAACCCTCCCCAATGACTCCTTTGAGAAGATGGATAGCGTGTGCCCGTAAGAGTGTGCGCAAGTGATTCCAGCCGTTGTCGGTGCCTCCAAGGGTCTGTAGCTCATCGTACACGCGTAAAGAATAAGCCGTTTGCTTGATAGAGGACACCGGTCCGTTATTCACGGCCTGAGATTTCTCCCAGTTTTCGATTTCCGTCGCGCACTGAGGCACTTTGTTGAGGCACATTGACAATAACGACTTCTTATCGCCTGCAGAATGGTTCAGTATCGTTGAGCGCAGGAGAGTATCCAGGTCGTGTAGTACACCCTCGTAAAGCTTGTACCTTCCCGGTGGCAGTGTGTCTCTGAGGCGCGTTAATTTAGACATTGAACTGCCCAGTGGCCCCCGTCGCGTAGTCTTTAGGGGCATACAGCTGCTTCCTGCCCCCCGGCATTCTGGAAGGCCAACACTCGGCGACGTTGCGATGTGGTGCCTGACTTTGCGAAGAATTGGCGTTGAGACGCTAGGCATTCCGGAAGAAGAATTCTTCTGCTTTTGTCGAAGACTCTTGGGTCGGATGGTAGACCTCGATGACATAATGCCGTCGTCTCCCGAGGAGTCAGTCAACTTCTTGGAATATGTACGGCGCGGGCGCTGTCGTTGTGTCTTAGAGGGGTAGGGTCCGACCATGAGGTTCGGATTTCTGGCCGTTTGGCGATCTAGCGCATCCTCGAGGTGTTCATTCTCAGGTTCATTCTGCCCGCAAGCAGCTCTCTCGGCTATCGCAATCTTCCGTAGCAAAACGATCCGCGACTGAAGAGGACGTAAAAGTCTTTGACATCTCGAAGAAGTCCAAGGCAGACCAGAACGGCTGGGAGGTCGGATACGATCCGTTTCTGCTCTGATCTCGCTTCTCCGAATCTCGTTGCTCAACTTCGCCATTTCTGGTACACCGGTCACTCCACTCGTGTCAAACCCAAGACTCTGTAGCCGATAGTGGGTATTTCAAAACATTGGATAGAATATGTTTTGACGTATGAGAATCCGGTGATGTATGTTATTGGAGAATGACGAAGTGAATCTGCTGCGTCGCTTGGCCAGTATCGATGTCAATTGGTGATGGCGACTCCCCAAACCCACAGCTGCTCAGATACGCAGTATGAGAGTAAGCTGAGTGGCAAGTGAGTGTTTGAGTGCTCGTAAATATGCGTGCAAAGTAAAGATAGCTGCCAATCAGAGCAATAGTGAATATGGGCGTAGTGTGCTGATATTGAGGAGTTAGCTCATAATATGCTGATTAGTTGATGAGTGAAGCTGGGATGGGTTATTTCCATCACATTGAATGTTTACAAAATCCCTAATCAGGTATGGTGTGTGTATTGACAACGGTAGAGTGGTCGCCAAAAAGGGTTAGGCTACATAGCGCAGCGCTAATTGGACGGTCACATGTGAATGACCCACCCCAGCTCAAAAACCTGGAGTATCCCTCCAGAATGCCTTACGTAAGAACGGCTGAAAGGAAGCAACTTGTATTTCTGGTCGTGCCCACGGTGGTGTAATCATGGACGCTGAGAACTCGACATGTCTCCGAAAGCGTTCAGCAATCAGTTCGGATAGATGCTTTAAGTGAGTGAGTTGCATATGGACATATTCAATAGGGAGTGCTTGACCCTTTAGAGGCAAAGAAGTAGGCGCAGAGTCACTACCTAAGGTACAGACTCTAGTGAGGACCGGGCCTCGCTACGGGAGGCTCTGTCAGGGCTCGCTACCTTCCGGGACAGCTTAGGGAGAACCGACGACGACTGACAGAGCTCCCCAAGCGGAGTGGGCCCGAAAAAACCGACAGCTCCAGCTTTGCCGGGCCGGTGCATTGCCGTCAATTGATGAATGACAACGCGACTTTTTTTCTGCCGTGAATTTTTTTCCCCGATTGTTTCCAAAAGGCACTCTACCCTCTCACCTTTTCTCTACCACCCCCCTTTCGATCCGCAACTGGCCGTCGAGTTGGAAACCTCATATCCTCTCTCAGGCCGAGTATTACTTTCTGCCACCCGTCACTTCGGAGCTGCGCATCCATATTCCACAGACCGCTACTTACACCGTTCTACCCTATATTAATTGTGTATCTGCATTGATTTGTGCGATTGCTCAATTCTTGCCAACCCTCTCCACTTCGAAGCTTCGATTATATATCTATTCCCTCCCAGGGTTCTCTTCTCCGTCGAGAAACATAAACTCCAGTTTCTTCCGGTATTTCTGCGTAAATCAAGTACCAATGTCCCAATCCGACCAACCCAAAGGCAAAGGTACCAACTCTCCACGAGCAAAATCAACATACGCATTGCAGCCACCAAACAGTCCCAAGCTAAACATTGAGTCCTTCCAGAAAATGCCGAAAAGGAGGTAGCGCCTCCCACTGAGGCCGAGGCCGAACTCCAGGCTGAGGGAGAGATCGATCAAGGCCTAGACGGTGAGTAATGCACGCTTTCATGGGATTGGGACGTCCAATGCTGATGCATAGTAGCCTTGGTTACCCTTACGATCAAACTTCCCAACGAGCCCCGTCAGATGCAAATTACGGTTAGCTGTGCTTAGTCCACCCGCGTATACATTCACTGACCAGTTTTGTACAGGTGTCCCCACAAGAGCAGGTTCACGAAGTTCGACAGTCCATCATCGACCTCCCTGTGGCGTTCCAGTACACTTGCTTCCACCTGGAGCACCGCGGCCAACGCGTCAATGATTTCCTCCCGATATCCGAGATCGAGGGCCTGGTCGAAAGCCCCGAAGTCACATTGGTCGAAGACCCATACACTGAGAAGGAGGCCCGTATACACCTCGTGAGAATTAGAGAGCTCATTGGTGCCGCTGGAGACCGCACCGACGTTGTCCAGGGCATTCTACCCGGTCTCTCTCTGCTTGACAGTGTCTTGCCGCCATCCGAGGAACAGACCAACGCAGAGCAGACGGAGGCTGCCAAAGAGACAAAGGAGGATTACAGCTTTGGGACACCGGTTCCAATCTCGACTTTGTTGCCTCCCGTCGAGGAGGAAGAGGCGCCCAAGACGGTCAAGACCATTACTCTTTCCCCGTGGAACCCGCCGCCGCCCCACCTCAAGCAAAAGGGACATCTCTTGTACCTGCTTGCTACTACTAACGAGGGTGAGCAACACCAAATCACAGCCCATGTTGGAGGATTCTTCATCAATAAGTCCTCCAATGCCAAGTTCGATCCTTTCCCTCGCCCGGCACCCAAAGCCGCTTCGAACCACTCTCTGCTCGGGCTCCTCGACCAGATTTCGCCGTCTTTCTCGGCATCCTTCCTCAAGCTCCAGGAGTTCAACAACCGCAAGGACCCTCTGGCGACTTTCCAAATCACCAACGCGATACCCTCTGCGCCATGGATCGTGCCGTCATCCAACTCTCCCCTCTCCGTCCACACCCCTGACTGGACACGTTCCCAGGAGACGTATCTCATTGCAGGCGCCGACAACACCGACACACTGAGAGACTGGAACGAGGAGTTCCAATCTGCAAGAGAGCTTCCCAGTGAGACCGTTCAGGACCGAGTTTTCCGTGAGCGTCTCATGTCCAAGCTCTTCGCCGACTACAATGACGCGGCCACCCGCGGTGCTGTGCTCGTTGCCCGTGGCGAAATCCCTCCGCTGAACCCTACGGAATGCAAAGATGCCCAGATTTTCGTTTACAACAACATCTTCTTCTCTTTTGGTGCTGATGGAGTGAAAACCTTCACTTCTGAGGGAGGCGACGAGGCAGCTCGTGTTGCCACCGGCAAGGATGTCGCAGGAGTCAGGCTAGTGAACCAGCTTGACATTGATGGTCTCTTCACCCCTGCTACAGTTGTTATTGACTACCTTGGCAAGCGTATTGTTGGTCAAAGCATTGTCCCAGGAATCTTTAAGCAGAGGGAGCCTGGCGAAAATCAGATCGACTATGGTGCCGTGGATGGCAAAGAGAACGTTGCGGCAGACGAACGATTTGCCGACGTTTTCTCCAAGCTGTCTCAGGCTATCAAGGTCAAGAAGCATGCTGTCTGGGATAAGGATGGCAAACGATTTGATCTCGAAGCCAGCGTGGAGACTAAGGGCTTGTTGGGAACCGACGGACGTAAATATGTCCTCGACCTGTACCGTGTGACGCCTCTGGATATTGACTGGCTCGAGGAGAAGGGTGATGTCGAGTACCCTCACCGTATGGCCGTCCTTCGCCCAGAGCTGATTGACTCGTATGGGCGGAAGAAGATGAAGGCTTGGGTTGACGAGGAGCTGGCACGCCGTGGGCAGAACACCAAGGCTGCGACTGACGAAAGCCCAGCTGAGCCCAAGAAGAGCAAGGATGCCTCCGCGAAGGAAGATGATAGCGATGACAGTGACGAAAGTGACGACAGCGAGGAGAGTGAGAGTGAGAGCGAAAGTGAAAGCGAGAGCGAAGAAGAGTCGGAGGCCAACAAGAAGGAGGTCAAGGCGGAGAAGCCAAAGACAAAGGAGGCGGAAGCACTGAAGGAGTCGACGGATTCGAAAGAT